ACGAAATATTTAAGCGAAATAATTAATTTAAGTTTGCAGCCGCACTAATTTAATACTAAAGTCGTGATCTTGCGATTCAGCAAAAAAGTGATATAGTCGAAGCTTAAAGTACGAAGAAAAAAGATTTTAAAAATAAACTTAGCTAATTTAATGTAAATATCGCAAGCCGTAATAACACTAACTACAACAACGAAACAAACGGCGACTTATCATCGATCGACGAGCTCCTAGCTCAGACTTCACCCAAAGTGATCTCGACGACATACCAGAACTCTAAAGATACCCTGCAGCATCTTAAGGGGCCTGCTCTTAACACAAGTGGTAGCCGTCTCGATCGAAAACAGCCGAGATTGGATAATAGTGGAGGCGATAGCCAAGGCACTCGAGGTATGCGCGTCGGCTCTCTATCACTATAGCAAGCAGTTTCCTGACAATACGCAGACAGACCGGTGATTCTCGAAGATCACGAGTCAGATACTCTCAACCCCGAAGCCACAGCCGAGCCGAGCAAGCCAACTGATCCACCTGGCCACGGACCATGGTTGGATGTCGAAGACGGCTGCTTTGTTGACGACGACCTCCGTCCAATTCCTCCGCTCGAGCAGGAAGATTTGGCTTCTACGCCCGCCCAAGGCCAGCCTCACTCTCGTCACCATCCCCCTGGGCCATCGCACGGCCGGATCAACCAACATAGTGACGACAGAACAACAAGAAGCGCATTAAATGTGCCAGTGTCCTATACTCTACCCCAACCGTTGGACGAGAATGGTGGAGGGAACGACGAAAACACCACTGAGCTTGGAAGAGACATGCAACAGGCTTTCGGAGAGCAAGAGAAGTCGTCGTCAGCTACGGCTCCCAGGTCCCCAGGTCCCCAACCTCAGTCTGCTGAGCCATCGCACCCTCCAATTGATCAGGAACATGATCAAGACGGAACTGGTTACGGCAGATTAGAGGAGCTCGGACATTGCTCTCCGCTCCGCAGTCAGGACCAGGAGGAGCCACAAGAGCAGCAGCAACAGGACGTAGTAGTAGACGCGATGCGGGAGGGCGACTATGCCTACGATGGGGAGTGGCGGCACCAAGATGAGGCTGAAGAGATTAATAGCGGCATCCACCAATCCGAGAGCAGCGATCATAGTCATGACACAAACGACGAGGACGACGGAGACCCACGACCTGCAAAGCGGCAAAAGCGCTCCTTAGTACACACCGTCAAGGCTGTAACACCTCCCCGTGAGCATAGCCAAGCGCCCCGCCTCACGCCATCCTCAACCATGCAACCTGAGATGGACGAGGCGCGGTCCCAAGCTGAACACGGGCATCTACCAACTCCGGCAGATGACGAGCACCACCACACTCCGCGAACCCCCCGAAGTCCCTCCGCTCCGGCAGAGTCGGCACTAGTTGCGGAGTATCAAGAGTGGCCCTTCCAAGGTTTCCTCAAACGCACCAAGATCGGGAATGAGACAACGTATAATCTCGAGTTCCAGTTGCTACACATGCCGGAGCACCTCCACCTCCCCGTCCTTTCCGAAGCGTTGGGCATGCGCTCCAATAAAGAGATGTCCGCAGAGGCTGCAACCCTTCACGACGTTAGCGCACATTCCAAGATGCATTCCGCAGCGGTGCGGCCTCGGATTAAGCGTGTTCGATGGACACCTGAAGAGGATGCGACAATACTCAAGATGAGGGAGGTGGATGGCTGCTCGTAGGAAGAGATCCATGCTGCCCTCCCGCACCGGACTCTAGGGGCAATCCAGGTGCAGTACTCTACGAAACTCAAAAAGTAGTCATGGTGATGCGCCAACCTCCTAGCAACTTCTATCGACTAGTCAACACTTTAAGCACGGTCTCTGCTGCACTCGAATGGACCAGCCTCAGCAGGCAATAGACTCAATAGGGAATGGAATTCGCCGTGTCATCGTGGGGAAAGGTTTGGTGCTGCGCACGCGCTAGGGTTGGGGAGGGGCGAACAGACGGTCTTACGAGGATTACAGAGCTGAGAGTGGATTTCATTGATTTCTGGGCTGGATCACGATGGAGTTACGCTGAGTAGTTCTCGACAAGTGTATCTCATCAACCATGGTGCGTATTCGTCGCGCCCATATCGGATTAGTTCTCGGAGACTATCAAGGATGCGATAAGTACCCAAAAGTGTCTGTGTAGAACCTAGTTCCTTATGGCCGTGCAGAATCTGTCAATGGGGAAGATGTCAGAGAAGGGGGAGGTATAATTGTTGCGGATAGAACAGGCAGCTGCCAAAGATAGGCAGGTGGATGGGTTCAATGATCACAGGTAGGAGAAATGTCTTTGTAGAAAACAACAAAATCACTCACTGTCTCCTCTTTCTCACTGACACAACACCAATACATCTTCCATTCAAAGCCCTGGATCTTCACACACGGCATTGGCTATAACTTGGCGTATATAATGGCATCCAGTCTGTTGACCTATCGCTATCGATGTGTCCGCGCTCAAGCTATGGTCGCATCTACTCGTTGGCTCCTGGAGCACGACCGGTCAGGTTTACCGAACACCACAACACCATTTGGGGGATGAGTTGAGGAGCTAGCTGGGTGAGGCGGTGTGTCCATGTTTTGTAGTCGATGGTTACATGAAGAGCAGTTGGCGCAATGCTCAAAGGCTGTACTTTGGAAGCTCAAACAACAACCACCAGTAAGCTTGCCAAATTTTTTAGGTCCTCCAGACAGGAAATCACAGCGGCCAGGTAGGAGAGACCTTGTGGAATGACTGTACAATGATCGCATCTTCTGGAACCACAGCTAATCACCTCTCCAAGCCCTTTGCAGAAGACGACACCCTTAATTGTCTCATCGTCGAGTAGTTTGATCCAACCGCCGTGAGTATCTTGGATTTTACATTCTTTTACAAAATAGTTCTTTTGTCTCGTAGCAAGTTCAAAGAACTCGAGCCCATAGATTCTATCGTGTCGGAGAGGTATTTTGCGCTGACGTCGAGCGTGTTCCTCGGCCCATTCAAGTCCCTGGGCAAGGTCACACAACAGGTCTTTCAGTGGGTACGCAACCAGTTCGGCCTTCTCCTTGTCCACACCTTTGGGTAAAAGTTTGAGCTCAGAATTTTCGATAAGAAGTTTTCTGGTCCTCTCCAGATTCGAATACGCTTTGGGTGGGGCGGGTTCTAGTTCATGTTGCTGGGCGTAGATAAGGGCCATATATACCAGCACCCAAAGTTGAGCAACCAACCATCCACGTCTCTCATCAGGTGCGTATAGAAGTATCGGAGTTGTGATAGATGAAGCAATCATTTCAATAAATCTGGTCTCTCTTGAGTGTCTCACACTGTCTTCTTGGACTTCGAATGTCGCCGAGGCCCCAACTGTCATAGGAGACTTTCCGATTCCAGCATTGAATCCAACAGTTTTTAGCGCCAGTGATCGGCCCATTCTGCATAGCGTAGTAACAGTGACATCCGAGGGATCCACTTCGCCTAGCTGAATTTCATAACAATCGTTCCAACCCAGAAACGTGCGAATAGCTTCTCTAATGTTTTCAAGTTGAGGGCGTGACTCTTCTTCCTCTTCCCATATGTGATATCTCTCGTCATCGGTGTATCTCGAAAGAGGAATATTATTCTTGGAGTGAACAAAGTGCCATTGAAATGCAGATCCAGAGTCGGTTACCCGTTTCGCGGTAACTACCAGGAGGGTATTGAAGCCTTTTAAGACAATGCCTCTCTCGTATTCGAAAGGGTAATCAACAGCAGCCAAATTGACCATGATATCGAATGGAATATCGAGGCCCTTAGGCACAAGGAGATCTAAATTTTCTGGTTAGTACGTTAATTATGCGTTGTTTGGCTTTGCGAATCTCTAAAAGAATTCGAAGGGAGTGAGTTACCTCTCTGGCTTCCTTTCGATTGCGTGAATTGACTTCGGTCTGAAATAGGGCCGTTTAAAACTACAATTGCCTTCTTGAATAAGCCATGCCAGCAACTTCTCTGATCCCCTATCGTCTGCCGTAAAAGCTGTAGTTTCAGAACCACATCGGTACAGGATTGATTTGTTCTAGCATGGAAGTCAAACTGAAAGGTAGAGAGGTTGAGATTCTGACGGGTTTGGTCGTATCGCGCAGCAGAACCATGAAAATGCGTATGCTACTTCTATAATGGACTCCGATGTACCGCATGCAGTGATAACGACTTTTTCGTGTTCCAAGTCAAGTAGTTTTACTGAAAAATGGCGTAGATCCCCCTCGAGCGGGTTGATGTCATGTGATGTCTTGGCATCCCACGCGGCTTGGACAGTATGCAACAGCCTAAGCTGTGAACCAAAATCCCCATGGAAGATTTTTCTTCCAGTATTATGATCGACTTCACATCACCTACTGAACCGCGACTCCCCATTCCTAAATTCTATTTCATCATTGACCATCTAATCACTCACCCACCCTACAAATCCTCCCATCTACCTCTTTCCGCCACTTTTCATTCCCCGCACAAGCCTCGAACCAAAACACATTCCCCGAAGCAACCCCCTCTTAATTCCAACCCTCTCATACCTCTCCCCCAAAAATCATGTCCGCTACACTTCACATTCAACCTCAAAACCCTCACAACCCTCACAACCCTCACATTATTCTCTCTCCCGAAATTAATCGCTGTTTGATCATGTGCTGGAGTCGTAGCGTTGACGACGTATACTGGGTATTCGGTTCCGCAACAGGGGGATGAGGCAGAGGGGATACAAGAATCGTTGTTCCAGTTGTTGAAAGTGTTGGAAATTGGGCCTGAGCTGTGTTAGTCGAATAGGTGGTCCAGATTGAGGTGATTTTTGGCAGAGTGAGGGGGAGTAATTTGGTGAGCAGGGGTGACAGACTCCACCTGGTGGGGGTGATGGATGAGAGATCCGTTTATGGAATTGTTGAGGAATTGCTATGATTAAAACTTGAAGGCCCTTTAGGAACAGCAGTCTTGTTTGGAGAGTCGACAATCTCACGGTGGTGACCTTGTCTGGCTATGCGTTCCGCGAAGTCTAGGTTAAGGTTCTGTACTACGGCCCGTATGTGCTTTTGATAGCCGGGTTCAGACTCCGCGTCCTCAAAGAACGGATCGTTGTACGTGCCATCCACGGACGCTTTGATTAGAGAGTGGAATGATTGACTGATATGGAGTAGATAGAGTCGTTGTTCGTCCAAGGTCGCTCGAGGTTCTCCTAGCTTAATAGCTTATCTAGCCGACTGCGGCAGGCTTTGGATTTGATTTCGATTTCATCGATCAAGCTAGGTAGTTCAATAGCAATCTGTCCGAGACAGGCTGGTAAATCAGTCAGTCAGTCAGTCATCAGTCGAGCTTATTCTCCAACTGATTGACTGATTATAATGAAGGCATCCAACTGACTCACTGATATCCACTTATCAGTCGCTGATCAGTCAAGAAACGTGACTTTT